AAGTAGGTTAAACCTGAGTGACTGGAATGGCTGTTTGTGGTTTTTTTTTTTTAATCAGATGCTTGCTAGTGAAATGCTATGTAACTTGAGAATAAAATTTCTAGAACATCTTATAGCTAGCTGTTATGTTTTACATATTAATATGTAATTCTGCCCTAGTAGATACTAACTTATTTCTGTTGTGGTTTGATACATACTAAGGTTTTTTTTAATCATGTCCTTGCTTATCTCTTCTTTTCTGTTAAGGCTCAACAAGCTGCTGACCTGCGTGTGTGCTTTCTGCCAATTTCTGTGTTTTCCATGGTAGCTAACTTCCAGCTTAAGTCATGGAGGGTGGACTAACCTACATAATGTTACCGTGTAGGTTTTAGTTCTCTCCATGTGAGATGTATTTCTCATTAATGCTTTTAAAAACTGAATGTTTTTTTCCTGACAGGAAAATAAAGAATTGTGATTAGCAATTTTGCAGGTGCTACATTTGTTGCTTTTTGATTCTGTGAAAATAGAACATCAGCAGTGCAGGAATAGCATGCTCAGTTTTAGTTCCTGAAATTATAGTCAACTATAGGAGTTTTGTGAGGGTTTCTTCCATGTGAAAATTACAAGCATGAAAAACTAAGCAAGTTGTGCTGACCTCAGCACTGGTTCTCCTGAGTGATCCTGTTTTCTCTCTTTTCTAATTTTTTCCTTAGATGCTTGTAGCAGTGGTGGGTTTGGTCATAACCACGATATACTAGCCACTGTTTTTCACCCCATGGGAGGGACACAAACTCAAATAAAGAAACCCACTGCCACTTCCTTTGAAATATCAAAAAAAAAGGTTTGGCTTGTGCTACTTGCTTATGGAGATGCTTTCTGCATCTTCTAGTTTAAGAGTATGAAGTTCTTCAGCTGTGTGAAAATGCCTGGATGCTGGACTTCTGGGAGTTACTAGGTGGAAAATATACTGCTGGGTAGGCTGCTGCCAAATGACTGGGGAATAGCTGATGGAGCATCATTCATTAGTGTTTTGAAAGTGAAGGCAGAAGTCTTAATTACAGTCATATTGGGAGCTGTCACCTTCGTATCAGGCAAATTCAAAACAGAGCTTCTGTTGGAAAATAAACCTGCAGATGTAGAGGAAAGATAAAAGTTGCATGAAAAAGCAATTACAATAACAAATTATCAAGTTGCTTATTGTCTTCTGCATGGAAGAAACATCACATTATAAGTACGTCCCTGTGTTCTTTCATGATGGTTTTTCAAAAAGTATCTATGAATGTTATTCCAAATGAATTTCATAATGTCGATGGGCTTTCTATTCTCCTTTGTAAGCAGTATAAGTTTGCAAGAAAATAAAGTTGTCTTTGGCATACAGGTAACTTCAGGCTTAATGCTGTCTTTCTTTTTTTGAAGTTTTTTTTCTTTTTTTTTTTTTTTTGCCATCTCATTGTGAGTACTTTTGCTTGTATTTCAGCAGTCTGTGTCATTTTGGTGTGCCACATCAGACAATAAAGTGACTCTACTAAAGCAGGCTTTGAGTACTATTGATTATTTATGGAGACATGCTATTTTAATCAAGTAAATTCATTTAAGCTGTCATGGTGATTCAGTGTAATAATGTGCTTATGCTTCATGCTAACTAGTAGGTTTGCATTCTGCATGGTTACAGATAATATAGAGGATGTAGCAGTTTCAGTAGATTGGTATGGAAGTTCAGTTGTGGTGGTTTAGCATCATGTCAGACTTCATATGATCTTTAAAAGCGTTGATCCAAATACATTTTCAAGGCCTGACTTAAAATGTTCCAAAGAAATAGCTCAACTATTCAACTCAGCATCTCTGTAATTTGCACATAAGGAGGAGGGTGCAAGGGCAGAAGGCTGCTTGTGGAGTGCTACATAGCAACCCTCAGGCAGTGCTGAACAAAAAGTAGGTTAGTTACAGCAGCTGCTCTGCTGGGAGCTGCATGCTTAGCCCAGGCTCCTGGCAGCCTCCTGTGCGTGCTCATGAGCATGCTGCCCTCCCAGCATTTCTTTAGTCAACTTTTTCAGTTGAAGTGGCCTGAAACGGATAGCGTGATGAGCCTAGCAGAGGTGTGGGTAATATTCTGACTCCCAGGCCTAGTCTTTAATTGCAAGACCGTTTTTACACTTGTGTGAGCATGCGATGTCCTACATTAGCACAGGTTTGGCATAGTCTTGTGAAAGTAGGTGAGAATTGGAGGGGCTCTAAATGCTGTAAGTTGTTCTGCTGATAAGTTTAGATGTGGAATAAGTTTTAAAGAAAAAAAATTTTCTGTGAGTAGGTACTTATACCACATAGGGCAGCTCTGAAGTAGCCTTTTAATTATCTTTATTTAGATATAGAATGCTTTATTAACATTAGCTATCCTTCAGAATATCTAAACTGCTTGTGCGTATCACGCTTGTAATTAGCATTGTCTAAATAAGTTTTGGGCTTTGTAGGTCGTCTTAATCCAGTTTTGTGTTCTCTCTTGACTGAAAGTGAACATGAATCAATATTTTTCTGGCACACCTCAGAAACAGCTGCCGGAGTGCTTAGTACTATTTAAAATGATGAACTCTGTTCGCAGCAGTACAAAGGTGCATGGTCACCTTTGAAAGCAATTACTACTTACCTGTCTCTGAGGAAAAGAGCCAAGGCCCATGCCTGTTGAGCAGCAATGCAGCATTGCCAGTTGGTGACCTTTGAGTACTGAGAGCTTCTGAGTGGACGTGGTGAGACTGGGGCATGACCTGCACTCTGCCCTGTGTGCAGAGTAAATAGGTAAAGAGCAGTGTTCTCTAAATGTCATATTAGCAGCAAGTCTGCTGCAGCCTCTTGCAGCACAAGGTTGGTTTGGTTGTGTGGTAGTATGTTACGAAGACCCAGAATGTGTTCTGTTTTGCTGCTTGTTTTGTGCTTTGTCTGTATAGGAAAATAGATTTTATGGGGAGGTAAGGTTGTTTCATTTTTCTTCTTTCCTGAGGCTCTTATGTTAAGTTTTTAGCTTTATATTATTATAAAGCTAAATTTATATTATTATTATATTACATTATATTCTTATGATGTGCTTCCAAATGCTCCTGTCAGTGAATGCTCACAATGCTTATTGCACTGTCTTCACTCGGTGTTTGCTAAGTGCTGCTTTGCTCTGGCAGTACCTCTCATGGTACTCCCCACTCTGGGTTCGGTGTTAGGTACACTCACCTGATTCCTGGCTCTGTGATACCAAGTGGCAGTTGATGACAGGTTGTATTGATGGGCTCTCATTTAAGTCATTCAATAGCAACTTTTCCTGATCCTGTAAACACAGTGACTTTCAACTTAGCAGTACAAATATATTTAAATGAAAAGTCGTTCTGCCTTGTTTATCATGTCTTAACTAGAGCATTTAAAATGAAATACTTCAAAATTTCTGGCCTTGCAACTAAGATTTAAAGCTAGTTAAATTTCTGCTCTAAACTAATTTGGAAGTGTGAGATATTACCTTTTCTCCTGTCTTGTCAACTTTCCTTTTTTGTGGCAGCTTTTATATGTACAATGACTGTATTAATAAGTGTACACTGTGCACAAGAGCTTTTGTTCCTGAGACTTTTTAATGTGCTTTACCTTCTTCTATCTGAGTCTAATTTTGCTTTTTCCTGTGACTCCCCTTCTGTTCTTCCATCTGTTTGGTTTAACTGCTTCATTCTCTCCTAGTGTTCTGTATTCACTAATCCTTTTACCTTCCTCCCATCACAGCTTTGTATAGTTTCTTTGGCTTATGTTCATTTTGGTTTCAGCACACCTTTCACAAAATCACAACTTATCCTGTAATATCTTAATGAAACTGGAACTGTTAAAATCGTTCCTTCTCTCTCTTTCTCTCTCTTTTTTTCTTTTTTTTTGTTAAAAACTTTTTATTACTGCTTGCATGTGTCATCTGTGGTTCTCCTGGTACTTGGAAAAATGTTATAATAGTTCTGGTTTTTTGCTTCTCAGAGTCTACTTTTTTTTTCCGGTTTCTAAAAGCTGTGACGATAGCCCTCCAAGTAAAATGAGTCAGACATCAGTCAAGCAAAATATAAATGCATAATACATTTCATTGCAAGTCTCAGTGGTTTCATTTTTGAAGTATCACTCCTGATGCTCTTGGTCCCTTTGCTTGATCCTAAATAAATCATATTGGTCCAGTTCATAGATCGCCACTCCTTCTTAAGACCAATCAAGCAGATAAAACAAGAAATTCAGTGATTCATAAGGCATTTTCACATGTTAATAAGAAAATTGATAAGGGAAACAGTATCAGAACTTCAAAATTGGGTTCTAGTTGACTTGTTAGTGCTCAGAGCCTGATATCAAAGTCTTGGTAAGATGATTCGTTTTTTGAATGCAGAACAACTAATAGGAATTCTGTGATTTTGTAACTAATCCGTCTTGCTTTATGAAATAAATGAAAGTGGATGAAAGAATGTTAATTACATTATACAGTATTAATTAATGTATTAATTACATGTTTTATATGTAAGTAATTTCATTCTCAAAGGCAGGAAAGAAGCAAGAGAAGTCTCTTTCCATGAGCAAATAAATGCCAGGGCAATAAGAAATGCTGCTGTTATTTTCTGTCAACATATTTGGATGCACTGTTGTAAACAGAACTTGATTGGAAGAATCTGAGAATCTTAAAGATTCCCTGCAATGCACTGTCAGTGCTGGGAAAATTCATCTCTTACACATGAAAGCAGCTTCTTTTTTTTTTTTTTTTCCCCTTAAGAAGAGAAGGAAGGGGAGAGCCCCAGCCTCCCCCATGCTGCTCCTTATATGGGCATCTGTCAAAACAAAGCATCAGTTCAGCAATTTCTGTGCACTTTACTTATTTGGGCATTTTCAGGAGACTGTTGGTTTTGGGGCTTTTTTGATGTTGTCTTTTAACTTTTGCAGCAAGTTGACATCATCTAAAGGCTCTGTGAATCTTCCTAGGTATAGCTGATACTTCCATGTCTGAAATACACTTACCAATGTTTTGTTGTTTGCAGAAACCACTGACGCGTGAAGATGAAACCATGAAGAGAAAGCAGAACGAATAATAATGCTTTTCCGAAACCGGTTTCTGTTCTTGCTGGCTTTGGCAGCCTTACTTGCCTTTTTGAGCCTCAGTCTACAATTCTGTAAGTGCATCTTCCTTGTGTTTTCTGAGTAAGGTGATCCCTGGGTGTTTTAAGAATGCCTGTGCTTACGTGTTGCTTAAGCATTCTTTTTGTATTTAAATATTTTGAATTTTTTTCAATAATAAGGAAATAAGTGTAAGAATAAAAATAGCATGTTATATAGGAATCCATACAATTTAGAATAATTTCAAATAAGATTATTTCAGAAAAAGTCCTAGTTTTGTTGTGTAATTAAGTAATTGAATGTGATTTAATCCTCCCATGAATTAAATCAAATGCATATGAGTAAGAACTGCTGCAATCTGTATTTTACATTGCATCAGACCAGACAGGATTGAGAAAACTGCTGTGGAAGTGTTGAGTGTTGGAACTTATTTATGCCCTCCCATTAGGAAAATGTAACTGCTGAATTAGCTCTTCATAAGTGGTTGATTTGTTTAAGAAAAATAAATAATATTATGCTTCAGATCAATTAATTATCAGGCAATCCAGAGGGTGGTCGTTTTCTGATGACTAGTAGGAAGATGGTCCTGAATGCATGCTTGTTTATGTTGACAGATGAGCATTGTGCCAAATGACTGCTTATCATTGAATTTATAAATGATATTGCTTGCAAGATAAAGTTGTGTTACAGGTATAGAATACATGTCAATGTAATTTGCTGACAGAAGGTAGGCAAGGAAGAAGACATACCTGTAGTATAGGGTAAATGTTCTTTATTGTTGTTCTTGCTGTATTGAATCATGGGCTGCATCAAATGAAGTGTAGCTAGTAGGTCAGAAGAGGCAATTCTTCTCCTTTACTCCCCTCTCTGAGACTCCAGCTGCAGTGCTGCATTCAGTTCTAGGGCATTCAGTGCAAGAAAGTCATGAGTCTGAGCAGAGGGCTGGAGCACTTTTCATATGAAGTCAGACTGAGGGAGCTGGAGTTGTTCAGCCTCGAGAAGAGTAGGTGGCAAGGAGCCAGCATGAACCAAGTAGCTTAGGATAAGCTATAAGTAGGAAGTCTAATATTTTAACTTCTACCAGCTTCAGCTTGTGGAGAGATTTATCTAAACTTGGAACAAATGCCATCTCCAAAGAAAAGGCGAAACTTTTCTGTCACCATATGGAATTATTATGGATACCACCTGGAGCTTGGAGAACTTAGAAACCAAACTGGAGTCTTCAAGCCAGAATTACATTTGCACTTGCACCCCAGAACAACCAGCAAAATTGTTTTAGAGTCTACAAGAGCTTGGTGAGCTGCTTTCAAATTAAACATAGCTGTAAATCATATGCTATGCAGATAGAACATACTCTCCATTAGAGCTTAACTTACAATGTGAATTACTGAAAGTTCTCCTCCGAACATGTTTTGAGAGAACTGATAAGTCTGAGTGCTGAAAGTATTTAATACCAGCAACAGTTGCAGTGAATTGACATCTACCAGTTGGCAAAGCTCTGTTTTACCACAGCCTTGTGTCTGGAATGCCATGATAGCGGAGATGCAGAAGGCAGACTTTGGGGTAGTTGGTTATGTTTACTGAAAGTGTGCTGGATAGACTTGCTGGGTCAAATAAAATTCTGCCATATACTGGAATACTGAGCTCTTATTTTCTTCACTTATTTTCACTTATTTTGAGTGCTGTGGGCTGCTCATATTTTATGAGGACTGGAGAGAGCGCCATCTGCAATCCTACCAAGGTGTTGACCAAGAAGCCTCTGACAGTTTCTAGATAGGATACATAATCAGAGGTGAATTCATTACAATCTCTTTCCTTTCCTTACCACTTCTTTACCAACAGTAATTAATGATGTTTCATATTTTAAGAATGTAACTTGTCATGCTCTTTCTTACATTGATTTAAAAAGCTCCAACTTTGCAATCTTTTCCTGATGCTGACAACTTGCTTTTGTCATGTGATGCTAAATTAAAAGGAGAGCAGTATCTCCCCTCCTGAGTTCTGCTTTCAAGATCATAAGCTTGGTAGGTTTTCCACTAATGAGAAGTCTTTGTTTTCTTTTTTTTTTTTTCTCCTCCAGTGTACTAGTTTAATCTATATTTAAGGGGAAAAACAAACCCACAAATAATGTATTGAAGGCTGTGTACTTCAAGTGGTGAATGAAGAAAGCTAATTGTAAATTTAAAGGTTTTCTTGGTCAGAGATGGCTTTTATATTTTAATGGGAGATTTTAATAAGATGTGTGTTTTCATGATTTTTTTGAAAGTGGTGGTATAATGTACCATCCTGGAAGCAGGATGCATGTTTACATTTTATAGAAATTCTCACTTGAAGACAGAGGAGACATGGTGAAATACTTCAGAATGATATTATGGGCCAGTCTTAATTTCTCCCACAAAAAAGGAGCAATTGTTTTAAAATACCTGCTTTAAAAATAGATGGGGTTAAGTTGCTTAAGACTGGATCTGACCAGTAGAAGTTACTTGGCAGAACTTCATAAATCTTCTTTAAATACATGTTTTGGCTCCATCCATCATGGTAAGTTGAGCTATATTTAAACAGTTTAATGTGAGCTTTGAACACATATGGTTGGAGGTTTTGTAAATAAAGCCTAATATCTCTCAAAAATGAACTGCAGGTCATTAGTTGGCCATTAGCAAATCCTAACTACAGTCATGAGTTAAATCTAGAGGGAAGGAGATGAGGATAGAAAATCGTTATTGTTTCTCTTGAATCCCAACTCAAATAATTCTTCTCATACCCGCAGGAAAGTTTGGAAGTATCCAAAATGTGGAATTACATCTTTTAATAATTATATTACTGCAATTTGCAGGGTTTTTTGTTTTTTAAATTAACCCAGAGGGTAACCAGTTTCTTGGGGACTGTCTCATAGTTATGTTCTTTTATTTAATCATTTGAATTTTGTTTGAATGGTAAAACAGCAAAGGAAAATGAACATCAGAATAGGATAAAAATGTTCTTAATTACTTGCAGTAATTATTATTATTAGTCTTCACATTGATTAATGTATTGGTCTTATTTCTCTGTCCACATATTTGTTGTGGGAGTGCTGCTAGTTGTTAAGCCATTTTTGTTGAAGCACTGTGCTTTCATTGAATCATTCCTATCAAGTTGGACTCTTGGACTAATTGCAAATAAAACACAAATAGGTACCACCAGCAAATGATTTGTTATCTCTACTCATATGTTATTTAAACAAGCTTGACTTGTATCTCTTCCAAGGGCATGGATGATAGCTTTATCTTTCTGCATTGAATGGAACCCTGCTATCTAGAGGTACTTGGATTTATCACTAGATTGTGGCTTTAAAACTAAATGGAGATAAAATATGATGTGAGGAAGGTTATAAATTTTATTCACTGTGGCCATGTGAAACAAATCTATAGTTTTATTCCATGAAAGTGTAAATTAGACCTTCATTTTTTTCCTGAAGCACTCTTTAAGACAGTGGCCCTTCTGCAGTCTGTTGCTATTTTTCATGCACAAAATGTGGAATTATCTCTAGTCCAAGAGACTCCCAGAGGTGTGCATTTATTCTTTAGTGAATTGGACTACTCGTTTTTTTTCTACATTAGTATTGTGCCAATGTAAATGCTGTAAGCTATATTGCCTTTGAACTCCTGTAACATATTCTAAAGCAACCATACCCATAGCTCATTTCTGTGTACACTTTCACATGGAGATGTGCTAGACTTCTGGGAAAGCAGGGGCAGGGTGATTGCATGGAATTTTCTTGTGGTGACTCACAAATTTTTTCTTCCAAGCTCTTTTGATATTGTTATTGTTCTACAGTTCTGTAAGCTTGGTTAGTGTAGTCTGTTATGAATATGGTAGGGTTTTTGGAAACAGGTTGCGTGGGACTCTAATGGCATTGTTGCACTTGACAACAATGACAATTTGAGAGAGAGTGCACGGAATAAATAGCTCAGATTTTCTCTGTTGCTTAAAGACATATTCTTTCTTTAATTTTTTTTTTTTTAAATTTTTTTCTGTATAGGGAATGTATTTTTTGGTCTTAAGCTACTTCTAAAATGTCTCTTTCTTCTATAAACCAGTAGTTGCCTTTGTAAGTGAATTGTATCATTTTTCAGACAGGACAATTTCTATTTAAATTTGTATATTAATTTCAATTTGATGAGGACCAATTTCAGGTAAAATATGAGACAGCAAGGGATGTTGGACTTGCATCTTTCATCATCATTGATTAGCCATAAGCAAGTCGTACAGACATCTGCTTGCCACTGTCCTGAGTGACAGAAGGCTTTAGCCTACTTGTGTAACTTTTGAGCCATTTATAGCTGAACTTGTCTGGACAGTGCTCAGAATAACCTGACTTGACTTAGTGCTGCTTTGAGTGGGCTAGTTGACTTCCAGAGCTCCACTCAGGCCAATTATTTGTTTATAGAGGTAGGTTTATTAAAGTTTTTTTTTTTTTTTTTTCCCCCATGTATTCTTCTTTTTTTGTTGTTTGTAGTTCTAGGAGTGTCACTCTAATCAACTCAGGAAAAGCTTGTCAGTCCAATTCTCTGTTCTTCCTTCATTATAGCTCTTGGATTCTGAGTTGGGGTGCCGTATTGGTAACTGCAGATGCGCTTTGGGTCAGGATGTCTGTCTGTTAGAGCCGAAGATAATATTCTTATGTGTTACTTGTATATTGACCTAAGCTGTGTTTTAACAGCTGTGAAAAGTTTTTCTTTTTTTTTTTTTTTTTTTTTTTTTAATTCTGAAAATCACCTTATTGTGTTGGCAGAAGTAGTAAGGAGGGATAGTTTTGTTTCCATTTGCAGCTGTTAGATTCTTGAAGTTTGGCTTGGTGATTCAGGTTTGGTTCAAGTTCAGTCTGTTTTAAATAAGCCCTCGCCTCTTCTAAGAGCATAGTTCCCTCTGTGCAGGGTTTGGATTCAAGGGCTTGGGATTTTCACAGTTAGATATGTCAGTATTGCAGGGAACACTGTGTGGATGCAGTTCCCACAGCTGCTGCCTGTTCCACACTGTCTGGGAGAAGTGCTTTGTACACATTTTTGGTCTTTGCTCA